CAGTGAGAACCAAGCAAAGGAGAACCGTGGCGAGCGCAAGGATGCTATTCAGCAGGTTCTGACAGGTTCTGGCGAACCGGTAGCGGAAATTTTGAGTAGTTTGGAGAATCGGCAATTACCACCTCTGGCTGGCCCCAGAATGGAGTGGGAATGGAGATTTTGCAATATCCTTCCCCCTGGAGTGGGGAGGGAATGGGGATTTTGCAATATCCTTCCCCCAGGAATGGGGAGGGAATGGGGATTTTGCAGTATCCTTCCCCCAGGAGTGGGGAGGGAATGGGGATTTTGCAGTATCCTTCCCCTGAAGTGGGGTGGGAATTGAGATTTTGCAGTATCCTTCCTCTGGAGTGGGGTGGGAATTGAGATTTTGCAGTATCCTTCCCCTGCCACGCCCACCAAGCCACGCCCACAGAACCAGCAGTAAAAAAAATGTGAATTCCACCACTGGAACGGATTGCAAATCAGAGGCACTGCGATGTGCCAGGGTTATCTGCCAATCAAGTGCTATCCAATCGATCAATCAATAAGCAAGCAAATGAGGTCATAGGTTGCATCAACAGAGGAATAGTTTCAAGAGCACATGAATTTAAGAGTACCGCTTTATACTGCATTGGTGAGACCACACTTGGAATATTGCATCGAATTCTGGTCGCCACAATAAGAAAAGATGCTGAGACCCTAGACAGACTGCAGAGAAGAGCCACAAAGATGATGAGGGGACTGGAGGCTAAATCGTACAATGAACAATTGAGAGAATTAGGTATGTCTAGTCACTGATAAATTCGGAAGGAATACCACTAGAAAAAGTTGAAAGGATCACATACTTCTGCAACGCTCTCTACATGGGGCTCCCCTTGAGGAGCACTCGGAGGCTCCAACTGGTGCAGAATGCGGCCGCGCAGGTACTTATGGGAGTGACATGGCGCTCCCACGTGACATCTCTCCTGCGCGAGCTGCATTGGCTTCCAGTGGTCTTCTGGGTGCGCTTCAAGATATTGGTTCTCATCTTCAAAGCGCTCCATGGCTTAGGGCCCGGTTATTTACGAGACCACCTTCTGCCTCCGATAACCTCCCACCGTCCAACACACTCCCACAGAGAGGGCCTCCTCAGGGTGCCGTCTGTCAAGCAATGTCGGCTGGCGACCCCCCGGGGAAGAGCCTTCTCTGTGGGGGCACTCGCCCTCTGGAATGAGCTACCCCCAGGGATACGACTGATCCCGGACCTCCGGACCTTCCGCCGGGCCCTGAAGACTTTTTTATTTCAGCAATAAAAAAGGGTTAAAAATCTTTTAATTGGGGAATTTTATGGGTAAGGGGTTTTAAATTGGGGAAGCCAAAGATAAATTTAATTTCGTTTTAATGTATTTTAATATTTGTATTGTGTGTTTTTAATTTTGGCTGTTCACCGTCCCGAGTCCTTCGGGAGAGGGGGCGGTATAAAAATTTTAAAAATAAATAAATAAATAAAATAAATACTTCGATTTTAATTTACATGAAAGCTGGGACATGACTAGTGAAGTAAAGACAAGGATAGAGAAAGCTGGAACAGCATTCTTCAAAATGAAAAAGGTTTTCTGCGGTCACAACATAAACCTAAGACTGAAAATCAGGCTTGTCAGATGTTATATCTTTTCTATCCTGCTCTACAAAGTAGGGAGTTGGTCTCTGACAGAAAACCACTTGAAGAAACTAGAAGCATTTGAAATGTGGATTTACAGACGGCTGTTATGTATAAGTTGGGTTAATAAAATCATAAATGAGGAGGTGATACGCCGCCTGGGAAAGCCAAGGGAAAGCAAATCATCAAAGCCATTAAAAAGCGAAAGTCAGAATATTTTGGACATGTGATGCGACACCCAGAAAAATACGGCATCCTTCACTTAATCCTCCAGGGAAAGATTGAAGGCAAACGAGGTCCAGGCAGAAAAAGAACATCATGACTTCAAAACCTAAGGGACTGGTTTGGACAAAACTCAGCAGCACTTTTTCATGCAGCTGTTGACAAAAATAGAATTGCCAACATGATCGCCAACGTCCGATGATGGATATGGCACAAGAAGAAGAAGAAGTAGTCTAATGGAGAGAAGGACTAGGGTGACATGATAGTAGTCATCCAATCTTTGAGGGGTTGTTACAGAGAAGAGGGAATCAACTTCTTCACCAAAGCATCTGAGGGTAGAACAAGATGTAACGGGTGGAAGATCATTAAAGAGAGATCCAACCTAGACCTAGGAAGAAATTTCCTGAGAATGAGAAATATTAATCAGTGGAACGGCTTGCCTCTAGACAGTTTTCAAGAACAAACTGAACAGCCATTTCTTTGGAACAGTATAGGATATGCTGGATGGGCAAGGGATTGGACTAGAAGATATTCCAACCCTATTATTGAATGTTCTAAATAGGGCAGCGATGGCTAACCTTTTTGCCATCGCGTGCCAGGAAGGGGGGGCGGGGGAGGTTCGCGAGCGTGCACGTGCCCACAACCATAATTCTATGCACCCCACCCTGCGCATGCATGCATGACCCCCCATCTCCGCCCCCGCTCCTGTCACACAATGGCCCGGTAGGCCCGTTTTTCTTTCTCACCTGGCTCCAGATCCTCTCTATGCATCTGGGGAGGGCAAAAACAGCCTTCCCCATCCCCTCGGAGGCCCGAAATGACTCGTTTCCCAACTTCCGGTTGGACAGGAAGTGACATTTTTTGTTGTCCCCAGCCTCGAGACTCCTAGTGAGGCTGAGCTGGCGTGCCAGGTGACATGGCTCCATGTGCCACCTGTGGCACGCGTGCCATAGGTTCGCCATCACGGAAATAGGGAATGATGTGGGAGAGAAGAGGGGCCAGTATGAAAACACAAATTGTATGCAAAAGTTCTCAGATTCAAACCTAAATATCTCCAGATAGATGTATGTAGCAGGCCTGAGAAAGATTTAACATTGCAAATTTTACCTGTTTCCACTGGTTGATCTTAAGATTTTGTGAATTATTGGCGGATTTTAAGAAGGAAATGTTTTCTTTTGATGTTTTATACAAATTGGCCCAACTCTGAACATTGGCATTTGAGTGGGGGGTGAAACCCTGTCCCTTTTTACATGGGGTTCTGATCAGAGGTGGGTTTCAGCAGGTTCTGACCAGTTCTGGACAACTGGTAACGGAAATTTTGAGTAGTTCAGAGAACCGGTAGTAAAAATGCTGACTGGCCCCGCCCCCATCTATTCTCTGCCTCTCAAGTTCCAGCTGATTGGGAGGAAATGGGATTTTGCAGTAACCTTCCCCTGGAGTGGGGAGGGAATGGAGATTTTACAGTATCCTTTCTCTGCCACGCCCACCAAGCAATGCCATGCTTACCAAGCCACACCCACAGAACCGGTAGTAAAAAATTTTGAAACCCACCACTGGTTCTGATCATATAGCTGTGATTTCCATCTTGACTTTTTCCTCACACTACGCCTTTTAGAGCCAAAAATGAAGATGATCAGCTGAAAATTTTTAGGAATTGCAGTTGCAATTAGATCTGGAGACCATCAGAGGCTCCAGCTGGATGGACCACTGATCATTTACAAGATACGTCAGGTTTATATGCATCCCTGAAGAATTTATTATTTGCACCTTCACAATTGGGGGATTTTTTATACCTGATAAAAGGGAGATATAATGCAAAAGCAGACCTGACTATATAGGATCATGGCTCCTAGAGACAGCTAAGGATAACCTGAATGGCTGCTCAACTTTAAAGAGAAAAGAAAATCGAAATCTAGATCAATAATTAGTATGGATTTATAGCATTTTTGTCTGCTCCCCCTCCAAAGCCTTACCATCCCTCGATCACCTTGTGATGGATTATTTGGAGATTTCTCTATCTCCTTCCTTAAGCAAACATGCACAATGACAAATACGCAGTAAGAAGTTTAACATTACACTTCCCATCTTTTAAGATGGTCTATCAGAAAAAATTCAACCACATGCCCAAGAAGTCAACATGTCCATTCATTTATATCGCCTGAGATTTATCTGAGAAAAGGTTTGATGCAAAGATGTAGTAGGCACTTTTGCAAATGTAGGATCTCAATATCCAATCAATGCATTGTTGCGATAGAAAATGGAAATGGATTAGTAAAATCAAAATAGGGAACGGTGAGAGAAGGTCTTGAGCATTGTCTCAATTTGGAAAGTATCTTCTTCTGCAATCCTATATTCCTTCAAAAATAAGACTCAGTGAACTTAAGAAGGCTTACTTTTGTCTTACTTTTGACTAAACATTTATAGAACCGTTATAGAACCTTTATCTGCCACAAAACAATACTGCATAATGCAAATATTGTTACAAAAAGGTAAGGTCCAACAATTGCATACAACATTTGGGTTTATTGTTCCATGGTTAGGAATTGACGCAAAAACATAACATTGTTTGTCTCTTTACAGCGGAATTAAACAATAGACTTGAATTAAGGTACGACTGGCATATTTTAAAACACCGACACAAGAATTTTCAAAATAGATTCTCTAGTTGCTGAGTAACAGCTAGTAGAAGAGCTTTCAAATATCACAGTTAATGTTGAGATTCCCTTCCATGAGCTGTAGCCATGGGGATTCAAATGGATTATTGAAAAGAACAGAAAATATCAGTTGTACATCAATTGCAGTTTTACTGCCAATGAAATGATATGTCAAAATTCTTCCATCAATGTGCAAATAAGTTGTGCGGTTATTGTTAATGGAAGCAAGGTCAAACAACTGACAAATGAAAAACAAACTGATCTTATTGAATCTATAAACAGGTTTAATTTGGGCATACACTTTAAAAAAAAACAAAAACCCAGAGAATTAAAACCAACCGGAACCAAGATCCACAAATAAGAATCACAGCAAATTATATTTTTATCCATCATTTGCCTGAGGTAATAAAATCAAGCACTAATCTCTTTTATTATTATACTAATTTTAAGTCAGAGATCATCGTATGCTTCTCAATTTAAAAAAAAAATAAGGCTTTTTTACTTACAAGGTTTCTTAAGCAAATTGATCATTCTGGACAATTGCAAGCCCGGGACAGAAAAAGGATTTCTTCGTTTGACCCTCTTCGAAAGAATCACTGAATCTATGAGATCACGGATGGAAAATTTTATCTCCAAATTGCTGAAAGGAATATTTGAAAGCAAATGAAGTTTGTGTGGGCACAGCCTGGTGGATCTCGTTGAAAATACATGGTCTATATTTGGGTATAGAAAGAGGAGGGGAAAAAAGAGGGGGGGGGATGAGAAAGAAAAAAGCCACCCACAAATGTCTTTGAAAAAGAAAGAAGCTTCTGGGAGAAATTGTTCTTGTTCGAGAAAAAAAAAATCAGTTAAAAATGTGCTCAAATTATGGGCAGGGTGCGATGGGAAAATGGGGGGGGTTAATTGCCTATGCAAGCCCTAACCTAACCCGTCTCCCCCTTCACTATTTAGTCAGACCATGATCTAGCCAGAGATTGATGTCAAGGTTGAGAAACATTGATCTAGAATAACACACTTGGAAGGGACCTTGGAGGTCTTCTAGTCCAGCCCCCTGCTTAGGCAGGAAACCCTACACCACTTCAGACAAAATGATTATCCAACATCTTCTTAAAAACTTACAGTGTTGGAGCATTCACAACTTCTGGAGGCAAGTCGTTCCACTGATTAATTGTTCTAACTGTCAGGAAATTTCTCCTTGGTTCTAGGTTGCTTCTCTCCTTGATTAGTTTCCACTCATTGCTTCTTGTCCTACCCTCAGGTGCTTTGGAGAATAGCTTGACTTCCTCTTGTTTATGGCAGCCCCTGAGAGATTGGAACACTGCTATCATGTCTCCCCTAGTCCTTCTTTTCATTAAACTAGTTTCTGCAACCGTTTTTCATTCTAGATCAGAGGTTTGGGATCAATGGCCCTTTAATGACTTGTGGACTTCAACTCCCAGAATTCCTGAACCAGCTCGCTCAGCAATCCTGGGAGTTGAAGTCCACAAGTCATAAAAGGGCCATCCGTCCCCATCCTAATCCTGATGATCAAAGCCTCACCCCCTTTGGGACTTCAAAATTACCCTTTGGACCTGTTTTACCTTTTCTAAGCCTCGTTCTCTAACTCAGACATGTGTCTGTATTGCTAACCAGGCCTACTGCTGAAAATGGCACCCAGAGTTTCCTTCACCACTTGTATTACTATAGGGAGGTTCACAGTTTGCATTAGGCCTAATGTGATTTGGTTTTTGTTTTTTTTTTGGTTTTGTTTTTAGTGAAGGAGCCAAGTCACCCTGTAAACCAGGGGTCTCCAAACTTGGCAACTTTAAGACTTGAGGACTTCAACTCCCAGAATTCCTCAGCCAGCAAAACTGGCTGAGGAATTCTGGGAGTTGAAGTCCCCAAGTCTTAAAGTGGCCAAGTTTGGAGACCCCTGCTGTAAACCAATTCAAGACTGACCATTGTATGTAAACATGGTCATGCTGATTTATTCCCCAAACTATAGAAAAATACAAGCCATAATAGCTTGGTGCTAAAGGAGGATACCAAGTTTCACCATCATGTTTCTTAAGTTTCCATCAGCATGTTGGCTGAGCAGAGGCAGAAAATATATTCTGTTTTATACAACCAAGCCATAAAACGTTGTGGGTGTCTTTGAGGGGAAGAGAATACACAGGAAAGAGCTGCCATTTTAGTGGAAATTTTGTGTTTCCTCAACCCTTTTGTTTTTCCTACAATGAGTCATGTTCCCAAAACGTTCCCTGCTCTTTGAGAAGCCAAAAAAGTAGCTACTGCTTAAAACAGAAAAAGGGAATTAAGATTCTCTGTCACCTTTGCTATTAGTTCTCTCTCTCCCTCCTCCGTGTGTGTGTGTGTGTGTGTGTGTGTGTGAGAGAGAGAGAGAGAGAGAGAGAGAGAGAGAGAGGGAGGGAGAGAGAGGGAGAGACAGAGACAGAGACAGAGACAGAGAGAGAATGAGAGAATATGAATATGAATTACTGGAGAAGGTATTGGACAGATGGAATAAAATTTCCTGGCCTTTCAATCACTTTTGAACTGAAGCCATTTTCTGCATATCGTTTTCTTACTCTGGTCACCTTCAGTGGAAACTTTGCAAGAGTGAATTAGCGATGAAAAATCTTCCATATGTTCTTCTTTCTCCGCATCACCATTTATTTTCCTAATGCATCTATTATTTTTTTTGCCAGCTGGTTTCCTGGAGCTTCTTGTACCCTTTTGCAAGCTACGGGTTGAACAAAGCCCTTTGATTTTTCAGTTACTAATTGCAGCTTTTGTAGACCACGCACAGAAAACTTGGAGCCTGCATCGAACACCTGGTTGTGTGGTGCAGATTTCAGTGATCCCATTCTCTCAGGTTGAAAATTAGGAAATGGTTCCCACTCAACAGAGCCAAAGGTTTGGTTCGCATACTTGCCCACAGTTAAGTAACCAACCAATACAATTTTCCAGATGTTGGATACTTGAATCGATGGTCAACTTGCTTTCCCATCTCTAGCCAGTGCTTCTTGAAGCCACACCATATCTGCATCTGGGGAGTATCCAAGTCTCTTAAACTACCATCAAGATCTCTATATAAATATAATTATCAAAGCCCTCAGAATGTTTTTATAGTTCTTATGGAATTCTGTAGAGCAGGGGTCTCCAACCTTGGCGACTTTAAGACTTGTGGACTTCAACTCCCAGAGTTCTTCAGCCAGCAAAGCTGGTTGAGGATCTCTGGGAGTTGAAGTCCACAAGTCTTAAAGTTGCCAAGGTTGGAGACCCCTGCTGTAGAGAGTCTTGATCATGGTTGTCCCAAAGATGCTTTTTCTGGAAGCAACTGGACTTTCTTGTTTTTTCTTTGGAAGACGTTTCGCTTCTCATCCAAGAAGCTTCTTCAGTTCTGACTGAACTGTGGGGAATTGAAGGATTTATTGCAGACAGCTGGTAATCTGCATCCTTTTAGAGCCGTTATGGCAAATCTATGGCATGCGGAGCCATATCTGTGGGCACGCAAGCGTTGCCCTAGCACAACTCCAGCGCGCATGTGCGTGCTGGCCAGCTGATTTTTGGGTCTTCCGGGCCCACCAGAAGTGAGGAAATGGACCATTTCTGGCCTCTGGAGGGCCTCCAGGGGTGGTGGGGAAGGCCGTTTTCGCCCTCCCCAGGCGCCAAGAAAGCCTCTGGAGCCTGGGGAGGGGGAAAAACAGGCCTACCAGGCCCACCGGTAACATTTTTGCCATTATGTGCCAAAAGTGGGGAGAGCGCGTGTGGGTCGCACGTTCATGCACGTGGAGGTGGGGCGTGTGGGCATTGAATGATGGGTGTGGGCACGCACGTGCACGACCCCCCGTGCTCCCCCCCCGCTTTTGGCACGCAATGGCAAAAAGGTTAGCCATCACTGTTTTAGAGGGTCATTGAAGCACTTGGAGATTTATCTGTGTCCTCATGGTCACCTAAGTATTGCTCCTTACGGAATCTTTTTTGAGTCCTATTTATCCCTCATTTAAACTCTTTCTCTCTCTTTCATGGTTTCTTGTCTCCCCACCACCACCACTAATTATTATTATTATTTTCTTCTACGGTAGGAAAAAAGACATAAGCAATGAGGCCAATTTTGATTGGCTGGCCCTGTTAGCGCAGGAGCAGATGGTCAACCTGATCCCAAGCCACACAGAGCTTTCTAGATCACAATCGAGCATGTCGAATTTATGGAGAAATAGTCCAGTAGCCAGTGGCATAAATATGCTCCATACCATACGCCCAGTCTCAGTTAGCAATCATGCACCTGCGTTTGGTATTAATTGCAGTTTGTTAGCAACTCTAGACATAGCACAAATGTCTAGACAAAGTGTTCTCTGAATTTTGATGAGGATGGTCAGGCTGATATCTCCAGCCAGTACACACACACACACACACACACACACACACACACACACACCTCCAGCACACTTCCCTCTGTTACAACTCTCTTTTGTTTGGCTTTTTACTGTACTGGTTTGCTGTTTCTACAGTTTGTATGCCATCCAGAGTCGATCATGTTGGGCAGCCTTAGCAATCTTAAATTACTGTGTTTCCCCAAAAATAAGCCCCTGTCTTATATTTTTTTTGAACCCCGAAATAAGCGCTTGGCCTTAATTTCGGAGAGGTCTTATTATTTTGGGGCGTGTGAAACAAGGTGGAGCTCCTTTTGCTGTCTTACCTGATTTCCAGCTCTGCGTTTAAATATTTTTGGGGAGAGCTTATTTTCAGGGGGAGGCTTATTTTAGCGCATGCACTTAAAAGCCCGATTGGGCTTATTATCAGGGGATGTCTTATTTTCGGGGAAACAGGGTATAATTACAAATAAATATGCATATTGTACCCCTGAGGTCATATGCCCATTCAAAGATCTAACAGCTTTCCAAAGGTAAGATTTTATTACAGTCATAGCCCAGCTCAAAAACAAGAGAAAACAAAATATAAGACCAAAATAAATAAATAAAAACCAATAAGTCTAACATTCCTATGGTTAACTTGTGATGCATTTTTACAAAAGGTAAAGCAAAACCTAGCCATGTTAAGAGAGGTTATATCTCATTGATCAAATGATAGCAATTGTAAATAAAATGGATCTGGGTGGCATTAAAAACTCTGAGTAGATGAGGGATGTTAGCCTTAACTGGGTAATATAGCAAAATAACAGGACAAGAGTTGGTGCTTCAGGGACTGATTCACTAATGGGCAAAGTCTTTGTTCAAATAAGACACTCGTAATTTCCTCTTGAGAACAGCTGTTGAAGGGTATTACTCAGTGGTGAAATCCAAATTTTTTTACTACCAGTTCTGTGGGCGTGGCTTGGTGGGTGTGGCAGGGCAAGGATACTGCAAAATCTCCATTCCCTCCCCACTCCTGGGGGAAGGATATTGCAAAATCTCCATTCCCACCCCACTCTGGGGCCAGTCAGAGGTGGTATTTGCCGGTTCTCCGAACTACTCAAAATTTCCGCTACCGGTTCTCTAGAACCTGTCAGAACCTGCTGGATTTCACCCCTGGTATTACATCTTGCCAAGGTTAGGGCTCTTCTGATTTTGGGAATTCTTCCTTTAGATATCTAACTAATTTTTTTAAAAAAGGTGAACAATTGCCCATTACCGCATCTTTGATTATAACTTGTATGCCCCTTTTTAATTCATCAATCTTACAAACAGG